GCTACCTCGCTTTACCATGAAGTCATTTCTTATGGATGACCAAGGTAGATGTCTCAAATGCTTATCTACATATTTTCATATGCCGAGATGTTATCTTCGGTTTATTCATTATAGAGTGGTTTATCAATTTTGCAATCTCCCTTTCAGGCTTCCTTTGGCACCCTATGTCTTTTGTAGAATGATCAAGGCTTTTGTCGGACATCTGCACAATTGAGGGTTGCACTTCCACCATTACATTGATGACTGGCTACTGCTGGCTCATTCCGAGCTGGAGTCTACCCAGCTTCTTTTGGGGGTTGGTTGGTTAATCAAGTTGGAGTTCTTCCTTGTTCCTACCCAATATCTTATCCATTTGGGTGTTTTTTTCGACACTCATCTCAGTCAAGCCCAACCTTCTCTTTTTCGACCCTATTTGATGGAGCTGGCAGTTCTCAGTGCCCTTACTGCTCCCTCTATTACTGCTTGTGAGGTCCTATCTCTATTGGGGATGTGGTCTTCTATGGCAGCTCTTATCCCTATGGATGGGGTTCATGAGATCTCTTTAATGGACTCTCCACGACCAATGGAAACTTGCCTGGGATCCCTTGGATGTTCCTATTACCCTTCTTCCTTCCCTTGTAGATGATCTGCATTGATAATTTGTCAAGGCTCACACACATTGGCAGGTGTTCCATTTTTCCACATCATCCAAATCGGAATATTTTCACAGACACTTCACTTCAAGGCTGGGGGCATGGGCCGAGTAGCAAGTAGCTTCAGGTCACTGGTCTCATACTGAGTAGTCTTACTATATCAATATCCTGGAGCTTCTTGCCGTACATCATGCGTTATATCACTTTCTTTATCTTGCCAGCAGTCCTCTGGTTATGATTCATTCTGACAATTGTACAGTGGTAGCGTACATCAGTCACCAGGGATACACCCGTTCTCATTCCCTTTGTGGTCGAATGTTTTCTATTCATCTCCTTACATGTCATGTACTGGGTGTTTTCAACCTTGTCATGGATTGTCTTCCCCACTCTGACAAAATTTATCTGACGGAGTGGTCTCTAGATCCTCAAGTTTTTGTGGTTGTGCAGTTGCTGGGGTACTGCATGGACCTGTATGCACTTGCCACAATACTCAATACGAAGTTACCTTGGTTTTCGTCTGTGGTACCTCATCCACTTGCACTGGCTGTTGATGCATTCAGTCAAGATTGGAGAGACAAATTCCTTTATGTATATCCTCCCATATGACTTCTGCACGAGCTATCCACCAGCATGATATATGAATCAGATGAATTGAGTCCCTGCAAACAAACTACCATGACACCAAAGTAAAAACCTAGATCACTGGACTACTAGAGTACAGTGAGAAGAAAAGCTAACATTCCTACCCATGCACACCACTCCATGTCAAGTTTTTCTGATAGCCCCTTACTGGCCTGCCCAGCCATGGTTTCTATGGCTGCTTCAGATCCAATCTGCTAAACCATTGCCTCTACCCATAACTCCATTTCTTTTATATCAACCTCGGTCACGGGTAGTTCATCTAGCTCTTCCTATGTTTCATCTTCACACCTGGTTTTTATTCAGTTCTTGGCGAGGATATCTGTTCCAATCACCCTTCCTCCATAGATGTTTATCAATGTAAGTGGAACATTTTCCGCTGTTGGTCTTTGGGTCGGGAGCTTTCCCCCTGCTCATCCTACTGTTCCAATTATTATGGATTTCCTCACTTGGTTATTTGATCAGGGTACTTCTGTCTCCTCTATTGCGGGTAATCGGGCTGCCTTATTCCATACCTTTCATTTTTCCCAAGACCATAAAGTTTTACCTCATACCTCATCACTATTGTTGTGTTCCTTCAGGATTACTTGACATGCTAGGCATTCTATTCTTCTAGATTAGGATTTTAATGTAATGCTGCACTGCCTTATTTTACCTCCATTTGAATCATTATCATCTTGTTCCATGTTTCATTTATCCCTTAAAGCATATTTCTTTCTCCTTTTGGCCTGTGGATGTTGTTGGTTGGATTTGTTTGCCAGTGACATTTCATGAACTCTGTACCATTCGATTTATATTCTCCTTTACACGGATCGATCTTTCCTTTCCAAAACTTCAACAGCACGGGAGGGTAATTCCTCTTTATTGCTGATTTTCTTCCTGTCCATTTCCCACCTCTATTCCTGATCTGGTCCGAATAGACTTCTATGTCCCATTCGTGCTCTTCATTGTTATATTTCCCACTTCCTTCTGTAATAACTGTTCCCACCTATTCATTCCTTGGCAGCCATCCTTTGTTTGTGATTTCTCTCCCTTTACCAATTGGGTTCGGGTTTTAATTCGATTGGTTTATTCTTCCTTGTCTCCGTCTTTCCGTACTTTATTCCAGGTTTCTTCTCATCAGATTACTTTTTCCCTGGCATCTTATCTCCATCATCCTTTGGAGGAAATTCTTCAAGTGGGCATGTAGACCACTCCACATACTTTCATCGCTCACTATCTGCACTTCTATTGGTGGAGGTTTGTCACATGGTAGTTTACATGTAAGAATCAGTTAAACCATGTTAATCAAGGGGTGCGTGGGAGTGAAAGTCTTGTGGCATACAAAAAACTTTTTGCAAATAGAGGGCAGCACTGAAGGATAATAGTTATATATGTGAGCAGAAGTAAGTACCTGTCACAAATACATTTTCAGTATAGGAAAATTATAACCTTTGCAGTGCATTAACAGAATAACTGTATTGTATTGAGAATAACCTGTAGCTTTGAAAAAACATAACATTTTTTTCAGCCTTCTTCGAAAAATGGAACTGCATCATCTATGATTTGGAATAACATTTTTAGAAGAAGTGAGATGATTTGAGTTGTAGTCTACGAAGCAGTAGATACTAGTTGTCTTGTGATAGATGAACATATTAAAGGTGTTCACATGTTTCATTTTGGAATATTCCCCATTACCTGTGTAAATTTAATTGCCTTTTGAATCATGCACTTAGAATTGTTCTATGTTATTACTCTACACTTAAGAGTTTAGATCACATTCTATTATATTTTGATTTACACTCACCTGAAGTAGGGTGTCTTTGCCTGAAATATAGTTTTGAATCAAAATATGTCTTTTGGTTAATGTTGTTTTTTACTTTATTTTCCCCCCACTTTTTTATCTGTAAGCTGAGTATCTCATGCATTATACTCAATAGATAATAATAACATGTATGTAATAATATAAATTAACCATTTTAAATGTGGTATTCAGTATAATGCCAGGACATATGAGGATTATAGTATTAATAACTCATTGGCCTTTTTTTGTATTTATAAAACATGTTTCTTATTTTTGGAAAAATATATAAAAAAAATTTGTCCATGCATTCACAGGTAATTTCTTTTTACTATAGAAGCAGAAAGTGAACAGTACATCACTTGATCAAAATCTGGACAATGTAGTGTCTAAAGCTGGACATATGTATGGACATGTTTGGCATGATCATTTCCAAAGACCAGGGCATGGAGCTGTGAGTCCACTGTTTTCACCTTCTCTTTCTGCCAAACTGGGCTTACACCTCCCTAATCCTGCCCCAGAAGTAGATCTAGCCCCACCCACAGAGGCTCCCATGGTTCCTGCTTCTCTTGCCCATTATGCACCAGGAGTTGAGCCTGAGGCACCGTCAGAACCCAAGAAAAAGAAATATGCAAAGGAAGCTTGGCCAGGAAAGAAACCAACACCATCTCTTCTTGTGTAGCTTCCATTTCATCAGAATTCAATATGTTTTCACGTCACTGATCTTTTATCTAGCATTACAATCATGAGGAATGTAATAAACACGGATGAGTGTGAAAACTTTAATGTGACCGTGATGGATTTGGAGGATCTGTTTTCACTATCTGTAACTTGTTACCTACTGTAAACAAGTTTTTAACAGGTTGATAATGTTGACATCCATTATTCTCATTCAGAAAATCATTATGTCCAGTTGATAATGCACTATCAAAAACTTCTTTCTGTCGTGATGGCAGATAACCATCTGTCATTTAGTCTAGTTCCACTTATAGCCTATTGACTTATTGCCAGTGTCCCTTCTTCAGTTACCCATCAACCGACTACTATTGTTCTTTGTGTGATGACTGTTATTTACTTCCCAGATTACCAATCTACTGACTCTGCAAAATGATTGTTGTCAGTAATTAGTAAGGATAAATTTTAATACAGATTTTTTAATTAGTGTATTACCTTCCACTTACCTATGTGTTATACTCTATTCAACTGTCCAGTAAGTTAATTATAGCCTATTGCTCAGTAAAAATAACTTCTTGTGATGTGATCATTTTACTGTTTTCTTTTCATTATCTTATTGACCAGCAAGGATGATTGTTGCCAAGTAACCAATAAGAATATCTGTTCTTGTCTGTTAACAGTCTTCTCTTATTCACTAGTGTACTGACCAGTGATAATTACTATTTACTATTTCAGCAACCAATGTAATCCTCTCTTATCAGAAACCTTGTCCCTTTTAAAGTGTTAGTAGAAGATTGTCAGCTATGTAGTGCTAGCTAAAAATATCCATCATCAAGACATATAACCTTTTTCATCACCATATAACATGTATTTGTATTGAGTACATAAAAAGTGTAACACTTTTAAATATTGTGCTCTTTCTTTCTTTCAGGGAGAAAAACAAACTGGTCATTATTATTCCAAATTAATTTATATTAAATTGTGAATAGCATTATGTACAAATCTAACTACAAATGACATTTTCTTAGTCTGAACTAGTCTGATTAAAATAACTTCACTTTATTCTATAAAGACTTTATTTTCATTATGTGCATAATGTATGACATTGAACTGAATAAGTAAAAACTCAGTAAATTTCAGTGAGAAGCTTAAAGAGGTGCAAGATGAATATTTTATATATGAGATTTACTCTTTGTGGAAAAAATTAAGAGACAAAAAATTCTTATTGTAATAGAAAGAACATTCATTTCCAGTGTCATCTGTTCTTCAGTATATCACTTAAGCAATGCTGAAAAACTATCATGCTTATATTCCCAGTCAACCCAGGCATAGTAGGTGAACAGTTTTATGGCACACTACAGGCTCTTCTCTTGAAACCAATGTTGTCAATTGCTATAGTTCCACGTCCAATATTGTTCGTCTTTGCTATGAAGTAAAACTTGAGAAATGAAAACATTATGTTAATACATTATACTGAAAGAGATATTTTCAAATTATTATGGAATTTCATAATTAAAATTAAAAATAATTTATAAAATATGGTAAGTAAAGTATTAATTGATATTTACATACTTAGATCATATGTGATGGATTCCTATTACCATCCAAAACTGTACTGGATAGATATGAAACTGAAATTTCAGTTAGCACACTTCTCACAGAAATGTATTTGCTTGGTAGAAATCTTTATTATCACTTGATATTATGTTGTAGTAGGTTTCATTCACAAAAAAAATAACATTTCTGTAGCATTTAATATTTGTAATACTTGTGTCATTGAGGAGTGAATTGTGTGGAAGATGTGATCAGTGGTTATTTTAGCCATATCTTTATAATTTCATAGTTTATCTCACTGTAGCTACATTTATTTATTTGTCTCAGTCTGAAGCGAGATAGCTTTTGATAATGTAGTAACATGTGTTTAACAAATGTTACTATAAATTACAACAAATATTACTTTTACAATAAGATAACTGCTCAGAGAGAAAGATTGTTTTAAACACTGGATAGGGTTTATCCTATAATCAGTTAGAGGTTACATATTTAAACACAGTTTTCTGAACTATTTATGAACCTAAATGCTTGTGGGTCTATGATTGTTGGTTACAGGACCTGTAATAACATAGAAATCTCTCAAAACTTGTAAACAAACATACCATCAATATTGCATTTAATCCCACAATTTACTGTTGGAGTCCCTTCTGTATTTTATTTCAAAAAGATAGTAGTTTTTATTATTTGGTCTTTTTTTTATACTGAGTGTTGTAAGAAGTAAAAAAAAAGAATTGTTCAGTATAGAGGTCCAACTGATAGTGAATAATACAGAAACAAGTCTGTAATTTGAAGGTAACTTGCTTTCATCATAATTACATAACATATGTGTTTGAGATTAACTCTTTGAGTGTGTAATTAAATATTGGGTAGGTTCTTGAAAAGTGTCAATTATCCACCAAAAAATGAAATTGAGAATTTGACCTTTTTCAGTACTATTTCAATATCAAAATCCACTAGTTGCACTTTTGCCCAGTGATGTAAGGTGGGAAATTCAAGGATGTGCTAGTATCCTGATTGTCTCACTACGAGGAAAAGTTTTTTGACACCGTGAGGTAAATCTGCTTGTTGCACAAAATGGCCATAAATGTCAAGTTGAATAAATCCAATTAAAGCATCCAAAGGGTTAAGGAAAACACTGTAGATTTTTTGTAAACAGTAATAACTTGAAGATAAAATGATTAATAATACAAGTATGTGTTTTTATCTTATGGTAACTGTTGAAGGCTTTGGCTGCTGCATTATCTTAGATTGATATTGCTATAGTTTTTCATATTCAGGCAGCATAAATAATAGCTGGATGATGTGTTTGGCCAAAACACAATAAGAGAACAATTATTAAGGAATTGTACACTTACACAATAACAGACAAATTGTTTCTAAAGAATTACAACTAAATGTAATGCTTAGTGTATGTTTGTAAAAATAATTTATGATATTTTTATTATTAACTCATTTTTTTTTATAATATGTACATGCAACTTGCCCAAAGACCCAACTAAAGACACCCCAAATTATAAGTTATTGTTTAACACCCTGTTTGTGGGACAGGGAGACATGTTTGATGAATTGATTCCCAAACAAGTTTTTCTGGTACACTCTTTTCTTTTTTTTAATTCTGGTTAAAAACTTGAACTCCATACTATATCTGAAATGCTCACCACTATGGCCAAATTTGCACTAATTTCCAGGTTATGAGGCAGTAAAACCCATACTCCATTCCAAAATCCCATACAAATCACAGTAGTGGCTACACATGTTGCACCATACAAGATTTGTTTCCTCAGTCCATTTTCACCATGATTTGCACGAGTTATGTCAATAGAGGTGGCTGAGGAAGTTTCAATAAAGCTTACTTGCCACTGTAAGATGATCAGGATGGTAACTCTCTGAACATCAGTACTTCAACTATAGCACATAGCATTTGTCCAGTCCCATGTAAGGTGGTCCGGGCTCTTCACAAGGAGCTTCTATTCCTTCCCATACCATATGACCTTCCTCCTCATTGGTGTATCAGATAAAATAGTGTTTTTCACCGGTGTTTTCTACACAATGGATCCCTTCTCGTCCTACTGTTCTTCATTTGTCTGAATTTGTTACCTGACTGTTTGACAATGATTTTCCATTTCTCCCATTCCCATCAAATGTTCTCCTTTCCCTATTGCTTCATTCCTTTCATCTCATTCATCTTCGTCATTCTATGCCCATTCCTGATTGGGACCTCACTTTTGTTCTCCATGCTCTTAACCTACCTCCTATCAAACACATGGCCATATGTTCCCTGTAGCATTTGTCCTTCAAGACCTATTTTTTGTTTCTTTTTGCCTGTGGTCATTGTAGGTCAGATGTTTTCACCATCGACATATCACGTGTTCTTTAACACCATTCCTATGTTCTCCTGTATCCAGATCAGTTTTTCTCCCAAGACATTGGCAGCTCGTGAATATGATGTCACATTCATCCATATTTCTATACTTTCCATTTCCAATTTATATTCGTGCTCCAATTTGGATCATCTCTTCTGTCCAGTTTGTGCTCTGTGATGTTATATTGCTCACATGGTTCCCGTTTCCGCTTGTTTATCCATTAGAACCCTTCCTCTGTCTGTGATATTTCCCCTCCCACCCATATGGGATGGATTCGCCAGCTTATCAGATCTGGCACTACTCCCTGGCTGCCCGTTTCCATTGTCCATTGGAGGAAATCATTCTGGCTGGTATGTGGGCCACATCTAATACATGCATTTCCCATTACTTTCATCATGTGGCCATCTCCTCCTCATCTGGATAATATATACTGCCTCTTGTCATTCTCCACACCTCAGTTCAACTGTAAGCGGGTAACTTAATATTTCTTTACTCTCCTTTCAGGGTCACTAATATACATGTTGGATCCTGCTCTGTGGCGAGTGTTGCCTGTCCGGGTATACTAATCCATAAATCTGCACTGTATATCCTTTCTGTAACACTCACTGTTGAGATAGGGTGCTCCACAAGATTCTTATTGGGTTCATCCTCCTAGACCCTACCAACTCATGAACTATCATGATTAAAGCAGTGTCAGGATAGCTGCCCATCCCTCTGATCCTGCTTGAAAAAATAGGACTGGCTTGCTTTTAAAAATAGGGTTTGTTTCATGGTTACTCATTGCATTCCTCCACACTTCCCACTGCATCCCCCCCCCCACTCTTTGAGTGGAGGACTGGAGTCGTTGCCACTTACCAACCAGCTCCTAGCTTGCTGGGGTGGTGGACCAGGGAGGCATCTGCCTGAGTGTGCTCAATCCCATTCAGTTGAGAGAAGAGCAGTGGTGTTCTGTTGGTGTATATGGTGTGAACCCGCCTCCTACCATGAACCAAACATACAATACCTAGTGCCACCTGTTTATGAACTGTAGATGTTCCACGAAAGTGCAGTTAACCCCTCCAGCTGCGAGCCCTCATCCCACTGCAGACTAGATGATAAATTCCCAATGCCACCTGGTTCTGTTGTGTAGTGCATTTGCACATATGTCCTGCTTTAGTGGTTAGAACGGAAGTTGTTCTTCCATTTTGCTTCCAAGCCTGAGGTGCAAATGGTTGGGATCCTCCTCTTACCATGGACTGAAAGACAAATACCCGATGCCACTTGGTATTGGACTGGAATATTTTCACAATGGGCAAAAGAGTATACCTGGTCCAGATGTGGTGCTGTCTCCCACGGGTGTGCTCTCTTTGGATGCTTTCCGAAGGGCATTCATCTAGGCAAGTTTTGCACCGGTCTCTCCACCAGGTCAATGTGGGATTCTAGATGAGGTAAGGTATCGTATCGGAAGTTGTAATTTTCCTAAACTGAAAATTTATTTCTGATAGATACCTCCACACTTACCACTCCCTACTTTCAGTGCTTATTTTTTGCCTCATCTCGAAGTGAAGATTGGATTATACAGTATAGAGGGAGCCAGCTATACCAGGAGGGTGTGTCGCACTCTTATTGGTGAAGGGTTGCCACATGGTTATTTGCATGTTACAGCGCGGCTGTATCACGTTAAAAACGTGGGGTAGGTGGAAGTATCAAGGCTAATTGCGGGCGAAAACTTTGTGCATATAGAGGACAGCACTAAATGAGAAAAGTATGTGAGAGGAAGTATCTATCAGAAATACATTTTCAGTTTAGAAAAATTATACCATTTAGTCTCATTAACTTGCGGACTGTGTGTTAATAAAAAAAAAATGGGTCAGAAAAAAACAATTAGATCAAGACTGAAGAATATGAATCTTATAAGATGGGCCACTAAAATAAAAATACTTTTTAAACTGTCTTGGCATTTGGTGAAGTATCGGCTTGGAGGGGGCTTTTCCTTTGAATTTTCTGAGCTTATCTATGTTTTGTGTGAAAATGCACCATGATAATTTGATTAGCATTATTGAACATGTTGATTAATTAACTAACTTTCAAAACGATTTCATACAATATATAAGGACCTATATATCTGTATGTGTGTGGCTCTTGTAGAAAGAACTTCCATATTTTAAGTTTACTCTGGGCACCTAACTTCTGTGCGGTCCTGAGTGTGATGGATCACTCACCATTGAGAAAGGTAACCAAATCTGGTGATTTATTCAGGCTAAGTTAGATTCGGAATAAGTCTTATCATTCAACTATGATTTCTAATTTTCATGGTTATTAATAGGAATAATATTAATTATTATTGAGAATACCACAATTTTAAGAGGTAATCTAGCGAAATAATTAAAATGACTGTTTTTAGAAGCTTGGTACCTAAGAGAGATCATCAAACTTAATTTCTGTTTTCTGATATGTTAGTGTAAATGCAATGCACCTTCAAAAAACATAAGCAAAACGGTTCTTAGTTTTGGTAAAAGAACCCCGCACGTATCATACACTGACTACGAGGCTGAATTAGACTGTGATGGCCTGAAGATGACAAATTAACAGTGGCTCCTAATTTTATATTGATAAAGATGCCTGCTGCAGTATAACGTTAACATTTGGTTAGTGTGCTACGTTAACGTAAAGCGTCTACTTCAGAGTAGATAACATTATTGCCGTTAACATCCAGCTACGTTAGATACGCGTTGTTATTAATAAAGTAGTATTTTGACGTTAATATAATATTAATGAAATGCAATCTTGTATTATTCTCCTTTCGGTTCTTCCGAACAAGAATTAACAATTACTGTAAAGTTGTGGTTTATTATTTTACTATAAAATTAACGTTATTTATACTAAGGGGATTTCCATGTGCTTAGTCACACAGCTCGTGCGATAATAAAATTTTTTCTTAAGTGTAAAGATCGCCTTTCTTTTTTAATATATGTAAATAGTTTTTTACTAACAGTTTTGATTAAGAATTTTAACAAACTAATAAAGTTGTTCAAGAACTTTTACAAAGTATGAACTATAATATCTGCAAACATGATGAATTATACGACGCTAAATTAATATTAAAAAAAAACTGTCTTAAGCAATACGAGACAAACAATAATTGTTTTTAAAATAACAATGTCTACTACATGATTCCTGTACTTTAGAAAATAAATTTCTGTCAAATATTTAGGATTATTAAATAGTTCAAACTTAAGCAATAGTTTACTCACCTTGATATCTTGAAAACTTAAATCAATATCTATTTGAGCACTTCGCCAATAGATATAACTTTCAGATACTGATTTGATGTTAAATCTATAAAAATCTTCTCCGTCTATTCTCAATTCGTAAGCCCCCACACCATTTATGTAGTAGTCAACAGACAAGCACCCTCTAGCGACCTCATTCGAACTAAAATATGGCGTCTTTACTGTAGCCACATTATTGTTAGATTCTACAGCGTCAACAACCAAGAAAAATCCTGAAATTAAAGATAATAATTAGATTAAGATATTTATAAGTAAATCATATTAGAATATTCAAGAAAACATTTGTTGCACGGTTATGCTGCCAGTCTCAAGAAAGCCAGGAAATAAAATTTGACATAATAAATAAAGTTTTAATTGACAGCATTTCATTTTTCTGTTATTATCGAAAGGTTTTATCTAATTCTTTAACTACTCATTCTGTAATGCCCTCAAATTAACACTATGTCGCACGTGAAAGTTAACTATCGTCTTAAACTCCTCCGGTGGGACAGCGGTAAGTTTATGGACTTACAACTCTATTTTATTGTTTGAACCGATATTATTTTACATTTATTGAAATTCAGAAATGTATTCATATCAGTAACTTTTTGTTGTATTGGGGATAGAAAGTTATTGGTATTTCGTACTATTGCTATACCTTTTCAGAAATTGTTTTCATACAGTTTTTGTGAAAGTTATTTGTAATTTACACTGACCAAAACATTTTTAGTTTTATCGTTGAATTATTATCCAATTCAGTATTTCTTAATTGCACCACTATTACTTTTTAAAATATACTCACCTCGACGTTCTCCTATGTTGTCATATTTTCTCACCCATTTAGCGTCTGCGTTAGTATTAATTAAACCACAGTCATGGTCTTCGAAATTACACAGAAAGTCTAAGGCCAAACCTGAAAGTACAAATGATAGTAAAAGTTAGATCACTCTTCGTTCAAATGATCATGGAACGTTAAACAGTTTTTACTTTTATATAGTAAATTAAAAATCCAACATCCCAATGCATAACCCATTTGTGAGTCGAACATGCAATTAATAATAATACATATTTTTGCATACTATCTATCGATTGTAACACAGATCCTAATTGTAAGGATAAAGGTTTCAAACACCTTTGACTTTGTATCCCTAACGAAGTACTTAGTTATTGTTCTAGTTAAAAATCGTTTACTTCGTAAAACATTATGAAAATAATACAAAATACTTACATTTGTTTATCATTGAAAACACACACACTAATGAAATGCAAGTCTTCATGGTTAAAGATAGTCTGACGTTCTTTTTCTATTTGGCTTGCTCCTTTCCGTGTTATTTTTGTGGTTCAGTTAATATAGCTTTGCTAAGAAGGAGAATAGAAAAGATAACCAGTCGACAGGTTTGAGTTCTCAGCAGAAAATCAAACAGGTGGCTTTAGAGATAATAGTGGTGTTTATCGCTAAGCGTTTAAATTCAATTACTATATATACTGCGAACAACAGCATTTGACAAACTATTGCACAACGTAGACAAATATTTTGTGTTTGCAACACTTTTATTTTGAACTATCAAGTCGCTTCACGCAGACTGTTGCTCAAAATGTTACGAGAAATTGAACACACACACACACATATAAAAAATATAACGTGTTAGAAACAATTTCAGAACTTTGCTACTTCAGAAATACCAGTTGGCATAAATAATTTACTAATTTGGTGTTTACATGCTATCGATAGTTTTCTTCTCCACTTTGAAACAATAATATCTGATGGTCCTTGCCATTTGGAAATTTGTTATAAGAAAAAATTATAACAATTCCACTAATTCTGCTTATAAGATAATTTTGGTTTAGAAAGTTTCAATAAATAGTTTATAAAACATTTTTATTTCATTTACAAGAACAAATTCAACACTTTGAAACGATATTATCTAATATTCCTTACCATTTTGAAATTTGTTATAATAAAAAAAAGTTACAACAATTCCACTAATTTTGTTTTAGGTAGTTTATAAAATATTTTATTTGCATTTACAGAAACAATTATGAGCTTTCTTCATTTAACTGACGTAGACATAATTAAAAAA